CACCACCACCTGCCCCGCTGTGGCACCGCAGGTATCCAAATGCAGCATCAGCGGCGGCGCAGGCAGGATGGAGGTAAATGACGACACGCTACGTATCTCCTTTCATATAAGCACAAACTGTGGGCAGCAGTGTGTGGGATTAAAGCCACTGCACAGGCCTGCAGGAAAACAGAGTGTTTAAACCTCCACCCTGCATCACACAGGCTGCTGGATGCGCGCACACGCACAAAAAAAACCCAACACGTTGACACATGCACGGCATCAAAATCCGCGTCCTTTAAACCCAAAGCCGCATATTACGTAATTATCTTTTCCACCGACGATTATGAGAGAGAGGTAAAAAGCAGACAAGCGTTTCCTTACTTCCCCAGCTCCTCGAACAGCTGATATTCGTCGGTAAATCGCGTGCAGATCGTTAAGGCCATCCTGAGGCAGGTGTCACCGGGGGGGGGCGGGTGTGCGGGGTGCACAGACAGGCGCAGGGAGGCGGAGAAGTTGCGCTCACAGGCTGGGTCGCCCTCACTCGCTCACGCGGTTGTGAACACCGCTTTGGTTTTGTCCTGAACCTGCAGCGCAAAGGGACGGATTTATGCGCAGCCGAAGCGCATCAGTGGGATCTCTCCCTCTCTCTCCCTCTCTCTCCCTCTCTCTCCCTCTCTCTCCCTCTCTCTCTTTCTCTGCTGGAATGATGAGGATTTCTGCGGCAGCGCGCAGAAACAACAACAATAGCGTCAGTGCTTCAATCCTGATGGGTTGGGGTTTTTTTCCCCTTTCTTTTCACATCCAGTGGGTTGTCACGGCTCGTGGGCGCAGCATTTTGTGTGCGTCTCGGTGTCTCCTCTTGAGCGGCGTCCGTCCCGCTATCAACACGCACGCATCCGACGCCGCACTTACCGCACCTACACCCAACCGGGCGCTCAGTCCCGCCTCTTTGCCTGCATCCACTACTAGGCCAATGGCAACGAGCGGCATCACAAAACAAGATAAAATGACACCATAAGGGTTGTTGAGAGTATTAGTCTGCAAATAAAATTACAAAGAAATCAAAAAGGCTTATTGGTGTTTGTGAAATACTGTAAAATAAAATAAAAATAAAATAAAATAAATGAACATAAGGGTTGGAAAAAACATTCTGATAAATTCTCTCACTCTAAAAATGAAATGTTGGATTTACTTAACCATGTTATGTKACCTGGTTCCACTTAACTGAGTTGAGTAAATTCAAAGCAACATACCAGTTTTTTAACCAAAGAACA